ATATATATGCTTTTTTTACTTTTGAGTATATAAAACATAAAGGATACATGTTGGAGTATCTTTCATTTCGTTTGAACAGGCGCGTAGAAGAGATTCATAAGTTGGCCTCATTGGAAGCTGTAGGGAGATTGCTTTGGAGGTGTGATCGTATATCTGTCCTCGACACACAAATCTACAATCACAGCTTCAAGGCAATCTCCTTACAGCCTCCAGTGAGGCCAATTTACGAATCCCTTCTACTAGCCGCTTCAAAACGAAATGGAATCTATTAAAGGATTCTTCGAAACCCGCTTTTTAAACATATTGGATGCAGTTGGACAGTCTTCCTGACTTTTCGTTGACTTACAAGAATGAGTTCCAGCTCTGAATATGTCCATCATTTGATGGAGGAAAGCTTAGTCTATTTTCGCTCCAAACCAAACTTGAATTCCTTATTGAAGCCAAACGACTTTAATATGAATCATCCATCGTCTTCTGGTGAGATCGACCTACGAATCTCTTCATCATGCACTTTCATACGAAACGAAAGTCTCATCAACAAAGTTACCTTAGAGGTTGTTTGACCTTGTTTTCTCAACATGAGCATATTGGTAGGAAGACTTAGAGGAATGCATCTAGTCCGGAGTCCATTGTCTGCATGATCATTTCCAAAGTTGAACCGTGGACGTGGTACATTCCCAAACGCGGTGGGCCATTGTCTGCATGATCATTTCCAAAGTTGAACCGTGGACGTGGAACATTCCCAAACGTTTCGCCGGCATAGTCGGCATCATTAGTGAGTATCGCCATTCTTAGCACCATACAATAACTCGTCAAAGAGACTTGTCTCTTTGAGCGTGTTGCTAAAACAAGGTCAAAAAACCTCTACACGACGAAAGGAGACTACGACCACACAAAAGGCCACACCATCTTGGTATTTATACCTTCGAAAGTTACCTTATGTTATTCATTGCAACCCAGTAAGTTGAAGTCAATTTCAGGCTTTAACAAGGTTATGATTGTTGGGTGTGTTCTATTCTGTTCTACAACTCTTATAAGCACCTGCCAGAGGACTTTAAGCTGAAGATAATTCACTCTTACAAACCTGAGCAAGGCCATACGCAATTCAGCAAAAACTTCAAGCTAGCAAGTTTTACTCTAAGGAGAATATAAAAAGTATTAGTTTCATAATGAGATGTATTCACCCTATTTCGTGTAAGGTGATGAAGGACTGGTAGTAGAATTTTCCCACA